TCACTTCTTGATTCTCCCTTCTATTTTAATAATGCATCATGAGAAAATAACAATATAATATTATGAGATGAGATGAGGTTGCTGATAATATTATGGTAAGTAGGGAAAGGGTAAAAACATTTGTTGTAAATGAAACATTTCTCATTGGTTTACCTGTTCAGGTAAAAAGAGATACGAAAATATAGAACCTGAACCAGARTGGATGACATATGGACCAACAAGCCAACTAGAGACCATTGAACTTGGTGGATTTGACAGGGAAGAGATGTTTGGAAAAAGAAGTACGTATAATCTTATTTTTTTTCCATTTCAATAATGATATATTGTAATATATGGCAGATTTTACAYTCAATATCWTCACTAGTAARGATATGGAAAATATATCACTGAGGTCCCGGATGTTAAGTCTTTATGAAAAATATGAGTAGCATAATTTCCCAGTAAAACACTAATGTCTATATGATAAATATGATTACGCACAATATGTGCAGAAATATCAGAAATATCTATATAGTAATATTAACAGTGGGTAGCCATGATATAGTGCATTATACAGATGTGTTTTTTAACTGATTGATGTAGCCACCCAACTTACTTTGTTATTATTCCATCATTGCCCTTTTTCCTCCAGAAAAAATAGACTTCTAAATTCCAATTAGAATTTCAGTGGATAAAAAGCCACTCTGTGGAATCGCAGTACTATACATTTAATTCATTTATTATAATCATTTTTTAAACCAATTTTTTCGTTATAGAAGGTAAGACCGGGTCATTCACTGGAAGTGATGATGCACCAAAAGCAAACAAGAAGGAAAAGGTGGAAAATAAAAATAAAAAGAACAAAGAGACCTTGGATGACCAAGAGGAAGGAAAAGATGAGAAGGATTTTGATATCAACCAGTTTTTTGTATCAGATGCCTTCTCACAGTTCTCTGATGTGGTGAGTTAGAGTTCAAACACTATTAGCCATTCTGAGGTTAAGTAAAAAACTGAATCAAGTTGSCATTGCAGTTAACTTTGGAACTGTCGTAAGGGAAGATAAGACAGACCCTCAGCCTTAAAGTATTAATAGTACATTTTCCTTTTTTAGCTTGAGAAAAGTAACAGCAATGCAAGTCGTTTCTGTCAGTTTTTTGGTGTTGATGAAAGAAAAGATGGAAGCAGAAGATCTTCAGCAGCTGAGGAGTTACTGGAATATTCAGGTACATAGCTTCTTGTATCTAGACATTTCCACCTTTAAGAATACAACTAAACCTTTAAAGACTTAGTGTTTGTAATGTTGTAAGTTGTGCTTTACCATTTAGTATTTGTGAATATTTAGACACTGAAACAAGGCTAAGTAAGTCTGAGTAAAKGAGCCTGTAACCAAGGAATACCGTTATGATTTGGAACTTGGGATAGGTCTATTACCTTTACCTTTTTTAACTTTGCCTTTTGTTGTTTAACAGACCTTATTYGAGGTGTGACAATGTTTTCCCGATTGGACGTGAGAAACCTCTAGGAGAATGAACAGCTATTGTTTTAAAACTTGTCAGGATATCATTGTCATTCCTTTCTTATCCTTTGGGATGCTCATTAATTTTTTTCGAAGAATAAATCAAAACAAAATGAATCCTCTGGAGGTTTGTCATGCTGAATTGGGAAAACATTGTCACACACTAATAAGGCCTATTAAGTGGTTGATCTTAATCTTGATTGATTACAGGCTTGTCAAGTGCAAGTCCTAGTACACCACGAACACCATCACCCAACCAGGGMTTTATGTTTACTCCCATCAAACCAGTGGATGCCAGCACTGAACCAGAAAATCTTGCAGAAATGCTTGAAAAGACCAAGATCGACATGAAGCCATTGCTGGAGACTGTAATGTCATCTGGGAAGACTGACAAGGAGAGAGTGAAGGGGCAGATTCGATTGGAGGATATTGAGAAAACAGTTGAGAATGACAAGCAAGGCGAAGAGCCTGTCAAGCAGGAAGATTCTCAGAAAAAGGATAATGATGGTCAAGATATGTCTGCATTCTTCAAGCTTGTAGAGACCATGGCGACTTCAGGAAACTTGCCTGAGAAACCACAGCCAGTGGTCAGTCAAACATTTCTCTTTTTTAGGGGGAACTCAGATTCAAATGTTATTAGCCCTTCTGAGGTTTAGTGGAAACAATTTGGGGACACCATTTGTCTTTGTTTTGAAGGTTTTAGCTTTTTGAATTGAGTCACATTTGCTTTGGTTTTCAGTCTGTTTTTTAAGAGAATGGAAAAAATGGCATCCCTTAACATCTCCATGATTCATCAAGTGTCCTATGCATTCCCACTTTTCCATGTAAACTCAGAAAGGCCAATAACTTGATACCAATATAGCTTCCTGTGAGATTTTGTACTCAGTTTCTGGACTCAATATTATTTGTTTAGAGTGTTTGTTTGGTCCACCTCAATTTTAGGGTTTTCTCTGGGTTCTCAAGTATTCCTCCCTCAGTTAAACCTAACAAGCTAAATTCCAACTTGATTTGGAGCTAGTCATCACCTGACTTGTTGTACATAAGTCCAAAGGGTTCAATTTCAGGGTTCAATAAAATTGAAATTTGGTGTCTGTACCTTGAATCTATGTATGTCACATTCCAAATTGGCTCTTTGAAAAGCTCGAATACATTCCAAGGTGCTGTGTCTAACTGATAAACACAAGCTATACAAGTTTGTAGCAGCTTGTTGAAATTTGAATTTATTTTCAATTTCATTAACGGAAAATCTTAAAGGACCAAAAATCCAATGATGAACTTGATTAATGCAGTCTTAGGGGGACATGCTTCATTTCCTTTGAATAAAGACTTTAAATTAATATATGGTCCTTTTTTCTTTCAAAGATCCCTGGACTACCAAGTCGTCTTCTTCCAAGACCTCCTTCTCCAAAAGCCAATAGGCCATCTCGTACTCCATCACCTCAACAGAAGTTCCGAACATCTCCATCACCCACAGAAATACTGCAGCACATGATGCAGGGTCATCAGATCCCTTCACCTTCAGCTATACCATCACCTCCTCAGGTGGTACCACAACTGGATAGACCGTATTCACCCTATGGAACCCCTGTGCACAGGTCTCTTGGTGAGTAAAACCGCTCATGAATTCCAAATGTTTGACCACTTTTAGAGTATTTGTAAGAAATGYCACCAACTGTGGTAAATGAGTACACAATGCAAAACTATTATCAAGTAAACTTCTCTGACGATACAGCGGCCATCTTGGATCACAAGACATAATGGGGTGTCCAGGGGCAAATAAAGCTTTGTTACAGTAACGATGTTGATTGAAACAGCTCACCTCAAGAAAATACGAGAAAAGATAAATTAAAACGACACCTCCATCACCTTTACCCTTGTAAGAAAGACAAACACACAAATCACTACATATTTTCTATCATCTTTGTTTTGTTTTGTCCCGTGGTAAGTAGCCGATGCATCGTTGAAGCAGTCCATTGGTTGTTTTGTGAAAACACAAGTAATAGGAATAAATAAGAATGGGAATTTAACAATGGTTCCACAGAGTGGCTCTACTTCCATTGAATTCCAATTGCTATTTAGAAGTCAATTTTTGAGAAGGGAGGAAAACTGGCAAACTTGGAGAAARACCTTGAAGCACAGGAGAGAGCCAGCAAGCAACTCTGCTTATATATGACAAATACAAACCCAGGTCCTCCCGGTGAGAGGCAGTTGCTAACACATCCTGAAGTCCTCTCACTCCTAAAGAAACTACAAAAGAATCATAATTTTTCCTTTGAAATTAATGTCTTAGATATTCTTGCTATATTCCTGAGCTTGTGAGACAAATAGTAGAAATTAACAGGAGTTGGAACCATAAATCCACCACACACTTTTAACTAATAATAAGGAGRAAATAATATCCTAAAAAAATAGGGTTTTATTAAATATTGATAAATAACTTATAATATTATTTGTAATTTGTTTTTAGAAATGCTGCGAAGGTCCCCTTCACCACTCAGCTCCATGTACAACCAACCAAAAAGCTACTCACCTCTCTTGACGCCAGATGCCTTTATGATGTCATCAGTAATGCACCCATATCCACCAATGAGAGGCAGCCCTTCACGCCAGTACATTGATAAACCACACTTTGAATTACCCAATGAACAGCCAGAAAAGCCATCTTACAGGATTCCAAGGCCTATGCCCAATCCTAATAATGCTGGATCAGTTAAAACAACACAAAAGAGTCAAACATCTGCATTGAAAGACTTGGCTTTCATGCCGACTTCAGTGCTACAGAAAATTAAGAAGGATCAAATGACACCCAAATCTAAAACAGACACTGATGAGTCTAAGAAAGATAAGATAGAAAATGGTGTCAAAGATTCCAGTAGAAATGTAGCTGCAGAMAAAAACACGAAACAATCTGTACTGCCGTCATCTTCAAGAGTACCAGAGCAATACCCACCAGGAAAAGAAGAAATAAAGAGCATGTTCCAACCTTTTAGCCATGAGGCAACACTATTGAAACCAACGGCTTTCAAGCCATACTCAGGGATGTCGCCAGGTTCTGTCTCACCCTTGAGATCAGGTATCCATTCAGAACCTCATTCACCTGTTGCATCAAGAACATCAGCATCGCCAAGTCAGAACAGGCTACCTATGACAAGCTYGGCACCAGTAACTCCTCAGCGACCACCCCATGCTGAGCACCACCTAATRTCYAATCAACAGTTACATTTCCATCATTTGAGGAATGGCCCCACATCCAGGGCAGATGAATTTCAGGGGAATGAGAGAGCAATTAAAAGTGTCATGCAAGAGAAGCGATCTCTAGGGAA